AGGAGACAGGTGTAGGTACCCCCACACTGGCCAGTGAAGAGAAGATCAAGGGATTAGACCAGGCACAGGAGCAGGGGGCTGGTGAAATCGCTAAACCCACATGCTGTAATACCTTTTCACATTAGCATGTTAGCCTTACAGGTTTATTAGGCCCTCATTTAGTCACGGAGAAGTAAAATACAGAGAACGTATACATGTTTGTTAGGGTAGGAGAGGAAGACAAGTGGGAATAACATACATCAATATTCAGGTCCAGAGAGAGAGAGAAGTGACAAGGGACTAATTAAAGTCACTTAAAAAACAAAACAAAAATTGGATTAAGATACTCCTTTCTCTTTTTATTTTCTCTCTTTCTGCCTTTCCAGCTCATGTTTGTCTCCCTTTTCTATTTCTCTTGCTCTCCCTTCTTTCTGTCTTCCCTCTCCCTGACTTGCTGGTTGCTAACATTCAGCATTAGTTGTCATGGTGACCATAAATCACATAAATCCAAAAATACCCACCTATAATCTGAGATGAAGCTTTTATTTCCCTAGCGAAATAATATTTTAAAAGCTGTCAGCTGACAAAAAAGGAACCCAGCTCATTGTAGTAACCCAAGTAATATATTACTGCTAAAGATTTAAATTAAAATGTCAGCCTGTTAAAAACATGCTGGGAGAATCTTGGGCACTCCTCATGTCAGATCCTCACAATGGAGTTGACTCCATCACTCCTGATCATTCTTTAACACAGATACACAATTTTTCTGCTCTCTCTCCTTCTGTTAATTTATTCCTTCCTCTCTCGACTACCTTAGTCCTCACAGATTCTCTGCCTTGGGTTGTAAAAGAAAGGAGACTTCACCTGGATCAGAAAGGAGCTTGCTAGGACCTTGTGTGTTGGTTCTCTGTTATCAATCATTTCCCCTAAGTGAAAAATAAAGACTTTTGGGGGAAAAGTGCTATTGAGAACCATAATGAGGGCGACTTCCTAGAGGAGCTGAGAAGAAACGAAGAGAGGACTGATAGGGAAGAGACCAATAGCGGAGGACTTTGCTGGGCGGCCAGGTTCTGTGGTTGAAGTCTAGCCCAGGAAAGGTATGTAAATTCTACCGTCCTGCTTTTTCCTACTGAGAGGAAACTTCTCCATTTGGAGCCCTGGTGGTCGTGGTGATTGGGGCGGGGGGAGCAGGAGCGGGGGGGGGGGCAGCCGCAGTTGGGCCTTTTGTCTTCTACCTTGGGCTTGTTGTCTTTTTCCTATCTTTGGATTACAGGGTATTCGCCTAGATGAAGAGCCATTAATTACCCATTCAGTCAATATTAGGAAGACCACAAAGCTTTTTACATAGGATTAAGAAGACATCAGATTGTTCCATTAGTATATTCCTGCTCACGAATAAGCTTTCGTTATACATTTTCTTTTCCCCGGAGCCGCGCTAACAACTGCTGCATATATTAGCAGCGGGCGGCGCGGAGAAAGAAGCCGCTCCAGCCCGACCAAACTTTGAGCGCAACCTGTAAAGCCTGCCTCTGCGGGCGGGGATCCGCAGGGGGCGGCCACCTTGGGACGGCTGTTCGAATTGCCCCCGATGGCGGAAAGACACACACACACACACACACCCCGCGGAGAGGCAGCTTCTGCCAACACGCTGATTTGGCGGGGGAATCCAAAAGAAAATGGAAATCTCCCCTCCCTGCCCAGCTCCCCTCTCTCGTTGCCTCTTGCTCAGACGATACGCGCCTTGGCAGGCCCCGTTCCTGTCCCCGGCTGCACTGCGCGCCTTCTACCCTTCTAAACACCCCCCCCCCCTTTTTTTTTCTGACAATGCTCAGGCCCGCAGCACTGCCCCCGCGTAACGTTTTGCGTTTCGCTGCGCAGGGTCTGGGTTGCTGTCCCTGGTGTCCTTGTTAGCATTAAAGTCGCTTCATACCGGCGGAGGGAACCAAGATTGTTTGCTTTCAGGGGGTACCTTGGAACCCACGTTAGTATGTGCTCGGCAAACATTTGCTGATTGAATGAATGAGGGGTCTGTGGCCGCGGAGGCGGTGGGGTTATCCCGGGTCTTCGGAAGAAGTCGGGACGAACTGCTGCCCAGTGAGAGTGTGTCGCGGCTGGGGCTCCGCACTGGGCCTGCGAGTCCCCTCCCAAAGGAAGGAAGTTTTCCAACACTAGAGACCAGGTCAAACACCTTCAACCCAGCCGCCGTGCCAGAGCTATTTAAAAATTCATGGCGTCGCTGGGGGAGGCCGGGCGAAGGCCCCCCACCTCAGGTCTGGTCGCTAAACCAGGTGCCAGGACCAAGGAGAGACAGCTTGGGTTGATTTCAGCTGGGAATCCAGAGCCACCGCCCTGAAACTTCAGGGTTACTGACAGGGGAAGCTCAGCCCATTCCCTTCCTGAAGGTCAAGACCACTTTTTGAGTTCCGCAAGGAGGTTCCTCTCAGGACACCCAAAACAAGGAAAAATGAAGGACTTCTGTTCTAGGGATATTCTCAGGGGCTTCTGCCTCTTACTCGCGGAGGGGGTTACCGCTTAACCTGTCAACTCTTCTTCGCTCCACTTGCCATGCCTAGTCATTCCTCTGTCCACCCTCTCAAAACCCTGGCCTAACAGGTCTCCAGCTGACTTCATGCTCCATGTCTTTTTGGGGTTCGCGCCAGGCTGGAGGTCAGCCTGTTGGATGTCAAAGGAAATGGGACTCCATGGGAAACAAATCTGGGCCCGAGCCTCCCGGAAGTCCTCTCTGCCTACTCAGAGAACGTTTTCAGGCTTCAATGACGACGTGGGGTTTCGGTGGGTGAGGAGAGGGTAGTGTCAATAATAGAACATACCGGATCTTTTTGAAAATCGCGTGTCATTGTAAACTTTTTTTTTTTTTTCAAGAGCAAATAAAAACTAAAAAACAAAGGAGAAACATCTCTTTCTTTTAAAAGCAGGTTGTGGCCAGGAGTTGGCTTATTACATAAGTTAAATTTGCTTATATTCAGTAAAGGCGATGCAGGCAACCTTCCTTTAAGAGTACTATAGCTTCACACACTCATTTTGGGTGACTTTTTTTTGGCCTACCAGATCCGTAAAAGCCAATAAAGTCAAGATTTTCAGCATTTCTTATTATCACATGCTTCTTCTTCATTAATGGCATTAAATATGTTTGGATAGCAATTTTGTTTCTGGCCTAAAAAGTAGAAAAGAGACTATTGGCATTGTAGGGGAAGAGCCCTTCACGTGTGTTAAAATAATCTGGGCTTAAAAGTAATGGTTATTTCTAGTTCTTTGTTTATTTGTTAATTATCAAAAGAGAACATCCAGGGTTGTCTGTCAAGACTTCCCTGCTAACCCACTTCTTTCCCACCTAGGAATCCCCCATTCCACCCTAGGCTTCTTCCTTAAGAGGTCCTGCCTCCCTAGCTCGAATAGAGGCCACCACCTGTACTTAGAAACCATTCCTGGGGTCAAAGAGTCTTGTGTGAGGGTGGGGGTGGAGGACATATTTTGCATCTCTCCAGCTCCCAGCGAAGCGAGAAATGTCAGCCTCGGCTGGGCGGCGGCCAGTCCGCCCCGTGCGAAGTCAGTTTGAGGACCTCCTCTAGTCTGGCTGGAGCCAGGGCTGAACCCGCACAACGTATTTTCCCCGGGAGTCATGGCTGCTCTTGATTTTTAACCATATCCCAAACATACTCTGGTCTAATAATTTATTTTTACGACCGATTATCAAACAGAAGAAGAATTTAACACAATCTTAATGACAGAAATCACCGGACGTTATCTCTCCATGGCCCCATTTAACCCCATGGGGTTAATCCCGGACAAGTGAGCATTTAACTGGCCCAGCAGGAGGACCCGCGATATTGTGCAGTGTCCAGGCCGGTCTGCTCCGGACCACTTTAGACGTTTTATTTCAACAAATGATGTTTTTCTCTCAGATTCACTGGGAAGCCCAAATGCAGGGCCTTTTTTTTTTTTTTTTTCTTAGTAATATGGTTTGTTTACTTGGCCAGGGTCCCAATTCGCATCTCCCTCCCCTTCGGGCACCCATTCCATTTGTATCCTTACTCTTTAATCCGGAAAGAGGGGGTTAGGGGACGAGGGCTGGGGGTAGGGTGGGCGTCGCTTTATCTCCTCACACTATCAAAAGTCAACAACTTCCTAAGGCTAGGCACTTATTTATTAAGGAGCCAGGAAAATCCGGAAAAAAGAGGAGCAGTAGGTTTGGTTTCTCGTGTATTACAAGGAAAGCTTGTCCTATCTCTTGCTTTTCACACACACACACTACAAAAGAACAAGTTTCAGTTTATCAAACACCTGTGCAATGGGTTGGAGACGTTTTAAGTTTTACACAAGGCTGCAGGCTTTGAGCAGCAATGTCCCTTGACTCGTTCAGAATGAAACCAGCCAATCGAGTAACGACACCACCAAAACTCGAGGCCCTGCAACCAGCACAACAGGTAGGTTCGCGTCGACAGGGGCACACACTCCTTTCTACCTTTGGCTGCTATGCATGCTCGCTGCCCTCTGGCTCTGCGGAGTGTTGTCAGCTCCTCCACCTCCCCAGCCAGGCAAATCTCCGCCAACACAAGCCTCCCTTGCTCGCCTTCCGCGGTAAACTCCGCACCCACAAGTCTGGGCGGGGCGCGGCTGAAAGCCTCCGGGACAGTGTGGGCCCTTGCTGGTGCTGCCCGCAGTGGGTCGTGGCGAGCGACAGAGGTCGCTGTTGGACCACTTTTCCACGCCAGTTGGAGGCACCGAGGTAGGTTGGGGTATACATAGATTAGGCCAAAAGGAAAGAGCGAGAAAGCGAGAGGGAGAGGTGTTGGGTCTCAGGAGAGCAGTATGATTTGGGGAAAGGTATTAACGTCCCTGGGGCGGCTGCTTTCCGTCCCACCCAGAGGCCAAGTGTCTAAGTTCAAGGAGCAGGAGCGCCGGTCTGGTGCGCCCGCCTGCTTACGCTTCACCCAAGGCCAAGAGGCCCCGGGGCGAGGCCGGTGCCCAGCTCGCAGCCTGCGTTTCGCTCCCGGCCTTACCATTGGTGCCAGGATGCTGCCGCGGGAAGAGCTTGCTGCTGGCCACCTCTTTCCGGCTCTCTGGAGAGTCCGTGAACTCGACCTTTTTGATCTCGGAGTCTTTGGAGAAGAGGCATTCAACGGCGGCCGGCTGCACGCCTGGGCCATGCGCGCCCGCCCCACGTGCGCGGAAAGAGACGCCCCCGGCCGCCGCGGAAAGGAGCGGGGGTAGGGGTGTGGGGTAAGCAGGACCGAGGAAAAAGAGGGACAAAGAGCAAAGACCCAGTTAGAAGGGAGAGCGGAGGGCACTCCCGTCTCGCGGACCCTCTGGGCCACCCGGCGCTGGGGCGTCCTCTCTCTGCACTTTCCCGGCTGCCAGCAGCTCCCGTTCGGGGGAGTCGGTGGGGGTTTCGGGACGCGGCGAGCAGCTGCCCCCGGTTCAGATTCTGATTTCCTTCCTGCCCTTGGCCGGCCCCTCCGGGAAGCGCCTCACACCGCGACCTCAGCGCAGGGCAGGTGCCCTCTCACTACCCTCGCGTGGCACGGTCGGCCGTCGGGGGACCGGGAAGGAGAAACGAGTCTTACCTAATTGCACGCACGCGGACACCAGTTTGCGGCAGTTGGTCTCCATTCCCCGTTATCTGCAAAATAGAAGAGAGGGAGGGCTGTGTGAAGCGTTGGGTCACGAAAGCGAAAGGCTCAAAGGAGGCTCCCTGGGGGGCGGGTAATTTCAACACCCGCAAGTAGGCGCTTATCCTGTGCTAGGTTCTCGGACCTCACAGCTACTGGCTGCCCAGATTTATCCCCACCCTAGCACGAGGGATGAGGCGGAGATCTCCCTCCACAGCCGCAGTGAATGGGCCCAGGGGCTCTTGGCCTATAAAGCTACCGCGTTCTGGGGTCCTAGGCTGTGGAACTACTCACAAGGTGTCTATCAGGGGCTAAGAGCCCGTCTGAACACCAGGGTAACTTCAGCAGATACAAACTTGGTGGGGCGGGGGTGGGGAGGTTTAGAGGCCTTTTATCTTGGGGAGTTGTGTGCGAAGGCAACCGCTCAGCACAGCACTCAGTGGGAACTCAGTAAACAGGTAGAATGTCAGAGTCAACTTGTTCCTGTCCTAGACCGCAATTGTCCTCGATTTTCTGTAAAGCGAACAGGACTCTGAGGCTCTGGGCCTAGGTGTCTCCTGGAACAAGCCGGCTTTGGGCCTCTCATCCATCAGGAACCACTTTTCCATATTTAGCCACACTTCTCCCTGGAGATACTCGCCCGGCCATTTATTTACTCTAAAGTATGATTTAAGATCGCAGAGGAGAGAAACGCTGTGGCCAGAGTGAGACTGAAGAGCGCGGGACAAACGTTCCCAGAGGGTTTATTGCCCACCAAGGATGGAGAAATAGCTCTAAGAGACCGGCCTCCCCAGTTCTCTCCCTTCTCCTCCCAGGCAGACCAAATCTTTTGCAAATTTCCAACCACAACGCAGCGAGCCTAACTTTTAACGCGCCTCCCCTTCTCCGCCACAGGCAAACCCGGAGAAGCGGGTGGTGAGGGGCTCTGTTGGGTTGGGTAGAAGAGATGCGGCTGCTTTAAAGACAGAAGAAATGAAAGGAGGCTGCGAGCTCCCCAGGACCGTTCGATCTTGGCTCCTGCCTCGCTCTACGACAACTAGGGTACGCCGGCGGAGGGAGGGCCCACTGCGCTGGAGTCCGGGGTGAGGGTGGGCGAGGGCGTTGCCTGGTTAGCGGAGGGGCAGAGGCAAGCAGATAGCTGCGGGTCTGCCTCTGGCCTGAGTCGCATTTTCCTGCTCCTCGGCCTTTCCTGGAAGGAGCCGGACCCAGGGCCACTGGCCAAGGTCGCTGACTAGAGGAGGGGAAGCGGCGTGGGGATACCGGGTGGGGACCGCCAGCCAAGTGGTTCTCCCACCCTCTCGGAGACTGGGGGCTCCGCGAATCTTTGCGGGCCCGGGGGCCCAGAAGTAGCAGTTTGGCGGCTCCAGATTTAGTGATTCTGCAGTAAAATCACAGGATTAGTCCCTGATTGAGATGTCTGTTCGTGAGATATTACAAAATTCATTATCACAGCTTTCTACTAACTCGATATGAAGTAACACAGATGGGATTTTATTAGTCCAGACTTCAAATGTTTACTTATGATAATTTCAGGGGAAATTTGCATGTCATCATCATTTCGATAATCTTTTTTTTTTTTTTTCTTTTTAAACGTCTGAACTGGCTGCATTATTAGTTGGTGGCCGGAGCATTGCAGATGGTAATGGTAAATAGTTCTTATTTTCTAAAAGAATAAAATATACAAAAGAAAAAGATCGGGTCACTCGATATAAAATAAGCCAGTTATTACACATTCTCCCCCACTCCCAAGCTTCAGTTCTGAAGACCAAACAAAGTAATACAAAACAAATCTTCAAGAACTGTGCTCTAAGGATTGAAAAGAAGGTCAAGGCATGTTCCTTAGCTCACTCCTATGTGTCCTTGTGACTTGGGGATTTATTTGGCAGTCAAAATGAGCCCTGGAACCTACATTTATTTATTTATTTATTTATTTATTTATTTATTACTTCATATAATGTCCAGGCCTACTAGATGAATTAAGTTTAAATAACTAGAGAAGATAATTAAAATTAAAAAATAATTTTCTAATTCCTACCTGCTGGTCCTTAAACTTGCCCTGTCAAGACAAGTCTTACAAGACAAATTTGTCTGTAGGATTTAGGGAATGAGTTCAATGGCTAATCTCACAAATTAAGATGCACAACTTTTCCTGCTAGAAAGTTTTCACCCCAAAAGTTCATGTCCTAGTTAGAGTATATATAAGCCAGGCAGTCTTGCTCTATCCAACTTGAGTATCCTGTTGTGAGTAAGCGAAGAGGACCAGACAGCTAATGGAGCACACTGCACCACAGTAGTCAAGGCTGGCAGGCAGGCAAACTCTAAGAAATAAAAAGATTTGCTTAAAAATAATTTCCAATGATTGTCATAAGAAAAATTTCCGGAAAATATATAGTTCTAATAATTACAAATCCTTTCACATTCCCTCCCCTTTCCTTTCACTTTGATACCCTATAATAAAATCTTCAATGGAAAATTTAAAAATAAACAGCGCAAGAACATATGTTTTAAATGAACCAAATTGGTGAGATTAGCCAGTAAATTAATTCGCAGAAGGTAATTATTTAAGGAAATTACAATACTGCATAACAGAGTTCTGTATTTTACCAGTTTAAGCCTTCTTTTAAACCAATTAATATTGATGCTTTAGGAACACTTGAGGAACAATGCACCTGAATAATTTAAGTGTAGTTTTTGCTGAGATAAAGTAAAACATTCCATAAATGGAGTAGCTATTTAATTTTTAGGGAAAGTTTGATCGAAATCTTGCATGATTATTTTATGTTAAACTAATAAAAATCCTCAACGTATTTTGCTTAATTGCTTTGTTTCCTTGGCATAATTGGTATTTGAGTCTTAGATGAATTTTCTCCAAAATGATATTAAAAACGTCTTTAATTCTTGTTAATGGCCTAAAAAAAGAAATCAATGAAATCTCTCTAAAATAGCTTAATTTTTCATAAAAATATTTTAGGATGTATGAATTCCTGTTGTTTATATTTATAATAGTACAAGATTTTTCCATTTAGTTTACTTTAGTAAGACATCATACTGGCACAAAAAAAAATGTAAAAATCAGACTACCCTATGATGGTTTGATTTCTAAATTGCTTAGGAAAGTAAAGCCATTAAATTAGGTGGGGGGCATTTTTCTCAGATTTAGAATCTTTATTATTTATTTTTATTTGACATTTGGAAAAGAGTCCTCTTCCGGGCACCCATTTAAAATGTATCTCCTTAATGTAAGACTGGAGTTGACTGGTGGTCAATTTAAAGGATTTATAATCCGAAGTAATTGTGTGAGCTTGGCATCCAGTCCTGGCTCCCAGGTAATTCGTTTGGGCCTGAGAGGTCACTAACTGCCAGTTAAGATGGAATCTTTTTTTCCAATTGGTAACAATGGGAAGGGGGCTAATCTTCCAGTAGCTGAAACTTTGTACCCAGCTCTTTATCTTGAGAATGCTAATCCTCAGTTTGAGGATTTGTCCCTGCCGTGTTGGCACCGAGATTTAGGAGAAGATACTTCTTTTTAAATGCCAGCCATGGTCTCGCTTCCCACTCGACTTCAGCGCCCCAAAGATTGTTAGTGTATGTGACTGGGGACGAAAGGAACAAGGCTTTGCAAGTTCTGTTTGCCAACTGCGTTACCTCGGGGGGAGGAGGGAGGCATCCCCAAGAGCTACAAATCACCTACAATGAAGATTCTCCAAAGTGGAACAAATTTCTAAACTCGCATTATCTCACATCCTTGCGGGACAGACGGCCTCCACTTACCGGCTACCGGGAGAAAGCTGCTGTCTCCGTGTCCCGCCGCTTCCCGGGGAGATTTCCAGCGAGCCAGGCGCGGGCTGCACTGCAAACGCCCGAAAGCCGGGCCGAGAGGACTGCGGGGCTCCCGAGGGTGCCAAGTTCCGAGGGAGTCCACGGGGGCGCGGGGGCCTCCGGAATCTAGCCGTCACTGGCAGTTTCTTTTTGCTCCGCTCCAGCTTTCTCGCTCGGTCTCGCACTCTCTCTCTCCTCCCTCGCTCTCATCCCTCTCTGTTCCCTCCGCTCCGACTCCGTGTGGGGAGTGACGTGACGTCAGCAGAGATTCCACCAAACTCCACTGCACAGTGGCCGGCGGGCGGGCGGCCGAGCCGGGCTGCAAGGCCGGCGAGCAGGAGCCAGCTCAGCTCTAGGGCGACCGCGGGGGGAGCAACAGGGGCTCCGAGAGGCGAGGCAGGGGAGAGGTCGGATGCCAGGCGGCCGAGGAGTCGGGAGCCGGAGAAAGAGCTTGGGCGAGCAAAGGGAGGAGAGGGAGCCGGGCAGGACGTTTAGACAGGAGCAGACGAGCAGCAGGCGCATGCACTCCCACTGTGGAAAAGAGGACACGAAGGGAGGATGGGTGGGAGGAGGAGAAAAAGACATCTGCGCCAAACCGGGAGCTCGAAGAAATCAGAGAGGGAGGGCCAGGGCGTCGGGGAGACAGAAAGGTACTCCCGGGGAGCCAACCGGAACGGATAGGGAGGAAAGGGCAGGGAAAGTGGCCCAAGAAATGGAACAAAGGACAGTGGGCAAGGGATTGTTTGGGGCGAGGCCTGTGGGGTGTGAGTCTGAGTGGGCCGGTGTGTGACCTTCTTTCTGGTCTGCAGGGTTGAGGGAAGAGGTCACAGAGACTAGGGGTGGGGGGTGGGGCGGCAGAAGTGAGGGAAGGGCAGGAGGTTGGAGTTAAGGTAGGAGGGGTGGGAGTGAGAGAGGATGACCGTGGAGAAATCTGGAAAAGTGGGTGACCGGGGGCAGCCGGGAGCGAGCGAGTGAGACTAGTCAACCCGAGAAGACTGGGCCACTTGGTCCAGCACCGAGGGCCTGGACACAGGCTCCCGAAGTCAAGGCGAGGGGAACAGCTACGCGGCACCCCGTGTCCGCGCACAAGTGGGCACTGCTGCGCACTGCCCAGAGTATACCAAGAGATTGTGCTGGACAAGGCTCAGGCCCTCATAGAGTCTAGAATTTCCTCTGCTGTATCTACATTCAAGGAGTTCACTCCGGGTCACGGCTATCTCATTTTTTAAAATGACGAGGTTAAGGTTCCTGTCGAGCATGGTATTAAATTGCACGGGACGGCGGTGGGGGTGGGAAGGGAAGCTCCCCTCAAATTCACATTTTCTCCTAAAAATCAAAGAACATGTGAAGTTAGGTCATTTTCACCCGAAAAGTGTGCCCTACTTCTAAACCCTGATTTTTCGATGTCTTGACGGGAGCAAGGGTGTGTGTTTTGGTAGGGAGCAGGATACTTATGCTCAGTCTTGCCCTTGGATGGAAGAACTATAAATATGATTTGCCTGGAAGACCAGGTGTGAAGGCTTCTGCCAGGCATATTGGACAAAGCTCCTCCAGTCTCAAGGGCATCCTGTTAATGTATGTTTTTGGAAAGTGTTGGAAAACAGCCATAGCTCTCATTTGGGTTTTTCCACCAATGCTAGTTCCTGCATAGGAACAAAACTCAGCCAGGCCCGCCATGAAAAAGCCCTCCCTTTTGGCCCTCAATAGAGAATAAAGTTCTCTCTAGAAGTTGTATTGCTTTTCCTAAATCAAGGTATCAGTTCTCATAATTTTAGGAAAAAAAAATGACTTGTTGGGAAAATGTGTGAGAAATATGTACATTAAAAAGGCCTGTCTTGAAAATAACCCAGGTCACCACATAGGTTTGGGGTTTTTCATGCATTTGGGGGCTGTCTGGAACATGTTATGTGTTTTGTTGAATTACTCCGTGTTTTGAATTCATTTGAGTTAGCAGTAAAAACAGGCAAACAAACTTGCTCAATTTGTTTTGAATGCTAAATCCCTTCACTTTGAAACAGCTAACAGTCGACAGATGGACTCATTTTATGGAAAGGGTTAGCCTCTTCAGCCACGAAGAAAACTGGGGAGAGACTGCATTTTAAAGTCATTACTAACCTTCATGTAACATCCGTGAAAACTCAAACTTTCTCCCTTTACCGGGTGAAAATTCAAGGCAGTTTTATTGAAAGGAGGCCACACGGAAAATGACCACGTGCTGTTTTTATTTTTATTTTCCCTCGGTCTCTGGGAATTTTTATTTCCGGTTTCTGAAATCTTGCTGAGGCAAGAAAATCAAATTTAATCAACAAGTCTCACAACTGAAATCTAAAGTCACAACGTAATGGCAGACGTATTCCAAGAGAGACATTTTCATCTCTGCCTATCAAGGATGTCCTCCCCTCTTTTTCTTTTCATTTTATAGAGATTAGGAGACGCTCAAGCAGAAGGGCCTCGCCTTCATCTGGTGGCAAGGATGGGAAATCTCATGGAAAAATGGGAAAAGAGTGAGAACATCAGAGACAGGAAGATTCAGAGACCCGGAGAGACAAGGGAGAGAGAACCAGGCTGCAGCTGGGGAGAAGCGCAGATCTGCGCGTGCAGCCCCCTCCCCTCTGGATTCAGAGGTTTGCTCACCAGGACTGGGATGAAGGGGCTTCGGGGAGCTCACGACCCCTCGCCCCCCCTTTCTGTCTGGTGTCTCGCCCGCCAGGGGCTAGTTAACCCTAGTCCGGACGTCGCAGACACCGCTCTGAGCTTTTGGGCCCTCGCCTCGCCCAGCGCCAGTGCAGCTGAAGTGAGCAGCTGGTGGGAAATGCAAATGGCTCCTGGAGAAATAGAAGATACAGAATGATTCTCATTCCCTCCTCGAGTGTGTGGAAGGAGCTGGACATACGTTTCACGCTCCTAATCCTTCTTTTACATTTTTAGTCATACTCCTATTAAACAACTAATTAATGCCCAGAACCATCGGGGAATACATTAGGCATGCAGCGGAGAGGCAGGGTGCTGGGAGGCTACAAGCCACCGAGCTGATGTAAGACGTGGATTTCAGGTTTTTCCCTGTCAGAGTAGAAATGGAATCGTGGGCCCTGGCGACGGGCGGTGGCGATTGTATTTAGATTCCGATTACTCCAAATTAGAAAGGGTTGGAGGGAGCGTCCGAGCAAAGCAAGCACTCTCGGCCCTGCAGTTGTAAACAAGGCTGCAGCATCAAAGGTACCACCAGCTCCTTAAGAGCAGGTCGCCTGGGTTGGGAGCCCGGCTAGGGGACGCTGACCTCATTCATATATCTGTGAATTTCAAGGATGTTGCTTCGACATAAACAACTCTCTGGTCGGTTCTGGTATCCTTGATGAGACTCAGTGCTCCAGAGTATATTTAAAAAATGTCCTCGGATGTATACAACCTTTTTACTTTTCCAAAATTTTCAACCAAGTCTAAAGATAGCAGCCTTCCACTGGACCATCCCCCCCCCCCAGCCCTTCTTTCTGTCTTTTCCACTATCTGATTTAATGTGTGTGTGTGTGGGGGGGGGAGGGCACAAGGAATTAAAAACATAGCCCCCACCTCCCAATATCAGTCCAGGAAGAGCGCTACTTGACTGAACAGGGTCAGAGAATTTTTATTGAGATTCTGAATGATACCCTTCCCTCCAAGATTTTGAAGCAAGTGACAGTACTGTTAGAACAGGAATCAAACTGTGAAGCTCAGGGAGGACATAACATTTTCTGAGCAAAGCGCCGTAAGACCGAGGACAACTGTAGGGTGACCTCGGCCAGCCCTTGCTCACCCAAGAGTCAGAATTTGGGAAAGGTACAGTATTATTTTACAGCTCGCCAACGGGCTGCGTGCTACCATTTACTTTCTCACTCTGGATTATGATCTCAACCCTGGCAGACAATTTCCCCAGCTCCTTATCTGACAACAAGTGAGTATGTAAATAGCAATGGCTAGAGATGTTTAACTGCCTCAAACATTATTGATTTGTTGGCTGTTCTAAATTTTCTCGCCAGTCCAGGTCTTGTTTCCGAATTCTCTCTTCAGGCGGTTTGATCAGAATTTCCGATGCTACAACACAATAATTGTTTTTTTTTTTTTTTTTTTTTAAAGGCATTTAAGATGAACCAATTGATTTGCATATAAATTAAAATTACTATGCGTTGCCTATTCCGGTATCCTATAATCATTTTGAAATTAGTACTTAACCACTCGAGCTAAAAGAATATATAAATGTCTGTATTGACTTACTAATGAATTACCTAATTAAAACGTCCTAGGGATGTTGGGCCCTGGAAAGATTGTTAAATCAAGACATTTTAGGGAGGGATGAGTATTGGACGGGTAACAGACCACTGTCTGGAACTCAACAGAGTTTCGGTGATTCCGAGCTTTGATTTCGGAGCACTGGTCCTTCTCTGTTGTTACTGATTTGGTGCTTGTTTGTAAATAAACGAAGAGGAAGGAGCGCTCCGGTGGCCGCGGCCGCGCAGGCCCTTTGCTCTGGCAGAGACCTTCCAGCTCCAGCCCAGCAGCTCTAAATGCTGGAGCAGCGGGGCCAGTCCGGAGGTGTGGGGCCGCGGCGGTCTGGCCAGCCTACCCCTCTCCTGCTGCCTCGCGGGCTGTCTGGGCAAGCGGCGGCCGCGCGCTCTCCGCACGATCCGAGAGCGGGAACTCGAGCCGACGTTTAATAGATATGCTAACTGAGCACTTACCTTCGTACTGAGAATACGAATAAAAGGTAGCTCTTCTTAAGAGAGGCGGTGCAAAGGCACGCCAGGAGTTCAGAAAAGGCTGGCGGCGGGAAATCTGTAGCCTGGGGGCTCGCCAGCATCCCCTTTCATTTCAAGCACTTATTGATTTGCTGTTGTCATCTTTGGCGACGCAGAAGGACACTTGAAAGAATTTCTGATGGGGCTCTGATCTCAGAAAGAAGGTGACCTGCCTAGGCTCTCACCAAATTCTTAATTACCACATCAACTGCTTTTTTTTATCCCCACCCCACCTCCTTCCCCCATGGCAACTGAGTTTGCTTATTCTTAACTTTTTAAATTAATTCAGAAACTTCCTTACCTCTATTGGCTTCCCTTTTGCAGTGGTTTTCTATTGGAATCTCCTCCCTCCCTTTCCCTCTATTAGGGTCTGTACGTTGATCCCTCTGACCTTTGGCATACCTGGGCCTTTCAACTTCTCTCAATTATTTTAGATTTGAGGATGGAAGGCCCACCCGCTCCGCTATGTGCACCCATTTAGAGATGTGAAGATTTACCCAGATTGCCCTTAAACCCAGGGGATCTTACAGATATTCCCTTTTTGGTTGTCTCTTAAAATCGGAAATGTCTGCCTGATTTTCCGTTGATAGTATTGTCCCTTGCCCATTCCTTTCTCAAAGCAGCTGGCACACGTGTGCAAATGTGCCCACAGCATCTTCACCTACGTTCTTTACCAAATTGTAAATAAAGAGGAACGAAGAGTAGATTGGTATATAAATTGCATCAGGAATCAGGATCCCCAATCAAGGATCCCTCAGTCAACTCTGGCTGTTATCTCCAGTGAGTCACTCCAAAGGGCCCCCAGGAACTGGCACTATGGGACAACAGGTAAAACCATAGTTTTGTTTGTAACCACCTAGTTTTAGTACATGCAGAATTAGGGAAAAAAAAGTGTCAACATGGTTATTGGTATTAGAGAGGAGAAATACCTTGGGCTCATCAGTGAAAAGAAGAGCCCCAAACTCCACATAGTTCTGTGGTTTAACTTCATTAATAACAGTGGGAATAAATAGGACACAAGCTTCTTTATATATTTTATGTTCTTTGGCCAATCTGAGCTTGCATTAAAAGTAGCTATATAGAATTTCTTTTAACTTCTGATAACAACTTCAGAAAGTAAAGCCATAGAGACACCCTAATCCAAGTAAACCCCCTTAGTTGAACATTCCTGTAAGTTCAGGAGTATAATATTGTTTTGTGATTTTTTTTTTTTTGGACAATCTGCCAGGATTTGCAAATCCTTACTAGACCTGACATCATTGTTTGAGCCTATATTCATTACAGGTAAGTTCGATTACTATGCTGATTTTAAAATGAACATTTTTCCCCCAGTATAATCTTAGTTTTCAGATAACAAAAATCTTTATTTTAATATACAAAGCTGCCAGTTTTCACTTCCTACAGAACTTCCATTTTAGTTGTTGCAAGTAATAATAATGTATATTACTGTATGCATTCCTTTTATATTTTTGGGGGGTAGGTGGGTTGGGTCCTATCTTCACTACCACCACAAACAAAATCTGAAAGCTATGCTCTTTCTTGTATAATAATTTACACTTGGAATGCTTCTGACATACCCCACACCATCCTAAAAATGTACGTTGTAAACTTTCTTGGAATTTCGAGCAAGAGTTTGTAGCAACTGGAACAACTTGTCTCTGGGAAGATAATCTCTTGAATGGGCTCTCATTGTCTGAAGGAGTGGACTTTGGAGCAATGAAGGAGGAAGGGGACACTGGCGGTTGTTAGCCACTTCAGCTGAAACAAGTTGGAGTTCAGTGAAGTGACACAGGCAGTGGTCAGATTCCCACCCAGGGTTTCTCCTGAAGCCCTTGGTGTGTTTGCTGATCAGCCCTCCTGGTCTTTCCTGTGTGGTTTCATAGACGATCTCTGGTTCAATGATGTCTGCGGTGTAACTCTCCTACTTATTATAATAACCTTAACGTTTAGGTTTTGATGCATTTAGGCAACAGCTGCTCTGTTAGCAAGCAGTAGCATACAGAAGAAATGAGACAAAGAAAGACTCACCATAACTCAAATTCAAACATGTTTAAAAGACTTTGACTGTGTGAAAAGTCTGGCAATGCGTCTAGCTCCCCGGCTTTCTACTCTAAACTTCATGTGGACCATGAGAGAGATCCTCTGACTAATCAGGTGTAATCTGGGTCTAAGAAATAATAGCATTTGCACTGAGAACAAAGTGAAGTCAGAAAGCCTGGTATATACAAATGGGTCTGGTAATTTAATTGATAACAGTAATAACTAATATTCACAGAGTGCATAGTTTATTTAGCCATTGTGCTAAACTCTTTTGTATTGATCATCACATTTATTTTTTATACCAGCATTATAAGGTAGGTCCCATCATTTACAACTGAGGTCAGTGAGTTTTGGCATTATTATGTCACTGGTCCAAGGTCATCCAACTGGTAAAAGCACAAGCTTCTAACCACTGGAGTGCAGAATGAGTAGGAAATCACTTCAGATCACATAGGCGGTAAGTGGCGCAGTGGGGATTTGAATGGAGGTTGTCTAACTCTAAAGTTCCAAATGTTAACCATACACTGAACTGGTGGTGAACATAACTGAAGAATCAGAATCCTCTGGGGGAAAGAAATATAGACCCTCCATGTGGAAATATAGAGCCTCCATAATTCAAACAACACCAAAAACCAACAAAAGGAAAATGCAGAGACAAGAAAAGCAAATATGTTAATTGGGGGATGGAGAAAGTCAGAAATGTTTTAAGTGCTAGAAAGAAGAAAGGGAGAAATGATTGAATTGAAGAGGGCTGAAGAACAAACCTCTAGTATTTGCTCTTGGCAGGTCCTCCCAAGAGAGAGAAAGACAAATTCAGGGACATTTTGAGCAGTAGGAAAGTTAATGTGCAGATTATTAATTAGGTTGGCCTGACCCTAATATAAGATCTCAGGAATCTAGTTTATAAGAACTCTTTCCCAAAGTTTCCAAGGGAGAATAAAATGTCTAAACTGTGGTTTGAGTAGTTTTATCCCAGAATCAAAGAGAAATGTAAGTGTAAGAACAGCCATTTTGCAGGAACATGCAAGTTGAGTGGGGGAACAAAAATCTAGAAAAACCTGTTAGGAATCTGGTTATGGTACTAAACCATGCCAAGCTCAAAGGAGAAATGAGATTTTACCTATCATTACTTAACCTCTGCCTGGTTTACACTCTAATATCTACCTCTATCACTATGTAAAGTCATTTGAAATTGTAAGTGAGATGACCTCAGTGCTGAAGAAGAGACCTTGGGTGGAGGGGTGTCAGGAGACAAATGAAGGGCAAAGATAAAGATCACAAGGACACAGTCTGTGGGGAGCAACTCTGAACTATATACCAGTTGTTGGTAGGAGAATGTTAGAAAAGAGACAATGCCAACGAGCCTTCTAAGGGGTCCATTTCATCATAGCAGGTTGATTACTGATCCCCAAAGTTATTTGAACTCAACTTTGTCTCCCCTGTAGAAAATGATCCGAATTTGGTTCCATCTTGGCCTTTTAAAGAAGGGATAGATAAATATGTGCATGTATGGCTTCTCAGTTTAATGAAGCACAGGAAAAGGAGAAATGAATGAATCAACCCAGTTTTCTATTTTGTGGCAAAACAAACAAACAAACAAACAAACAAACAAACAAACAAAAAACGCAAAAAACAAACAAACCCCTATTTCTTTGTGCTGTGTGTAGAATAAGGTAACATGGGGGGGGGCATATAAAAAAATAGTAGATGGGTTCATTTCAAGGGAGATCTCAACCTGTGCTCTCAGGAATCCAGACTCTCCAAATGCTAGGGGATTTTTGAAAGTCAAGTTTGAGGGCACACAGAGGCTCATTTTCCAGCTCTATCCTGTGGGTCTCAAGTCAGTATTTTCTTAAATGGGAAAGAGAAATTAGGATCTATAGAAAATAAGAACAGGAAAGGATCTAGAAAATGCCCCTCCCTCAGGCTACATTTCAATTACTCCCAGAAAGATAGCCAGTTATCCTTTTCAGCAAAGAGCCTCCTAAGGTCCCTTGATAATGCATTGAGATGCTTCGGAACTTCACAGATACATTGTATAATTGTCTATTGACTGGACTCCAATTACTGAAGAAAACGATGTCATGTCAAATTGCTCCAATTAATAGAGGGTATTTCTTCTAGAATCTTCCAAATATTTCAGAGGTCTTTTACCCTAAAAAATTATATGAAAATATAGGTTCATTTAACATATGGAAACTGTGTTACAGAGACTTTAGGAATTTATCCTAACTATAAGTAGCATGACACTAGAAGAACAAAATTAAAAACAAACTCAGAAAATTCTGTGTTCAAGGCTTTCCTAGCAGACATGTCACTTCTTGGGGCTAGTTATTATCTTTCTGTCTGAGTAAAGCACACGTTTGATTGTAACTCTATATGTCTGTCTGTTTGTCTGCCTATGGGTAGTTTATCTTTTAATCCATCAATTTATCTCCTTGCTAGTTTTCTAATACACCATAAATTAACCAATGTTGATAAAATTTCACCCTTACCATGAGTGCTACTTGAGCAGATGGAGATGGTTGTCATATTTTTCAGATATCACATGTAACTAACAGTGCTGCTACTGTTTAAGTGCCATAATTTCGTTCTTATCTAGAAATTGTACACATACCACACCTCTCATAGGGGGAGCCTCCACTTATTTGTACTTTTGTCTGTCAGGAGGACACTGATCATTTTGTTCATGTCACTCCTGAGGTTGTAACACTACCTTTTGTTTACGCGTGTGCTTCCTTACAGGTATATTTAGTTTGTTTCTCAAGACTGACTTCAAGAAACTGAAGTCACTGATTCACTGTAAAATGTTTACGTTTTCTGAAACAAAATGTGGGAGTAATTCTGGAACAATATACATTGCTCTTATCCGACTATAAGTGTTTTTTCTTCTTTCAAAGTCACATATTCCAATTTTTTTCTTTTTTTGGAGTCCTTCTTTTTACGGAATGTAATTTGTGAATCAAAAGCAGTAGGATTGTTATTGTTTTCTTTTTTGATACTTACTCTCCTTATTCTCCCCTGATGTATCTCCTCTTCTTTCTCAAAGATACGTTCACTGAGAGCATTTTTCTATCATCTTCTTCTACAGGAGAAGATGCAAATTGTACAGGTCAAGGCTGCATCCTCACAATCCATCCTTCCTTCCTTCTTTCCTTCCCTCCTTCCTTCCTTCCTTCTCTCCTCTCTCTCTGTTTTTCTTTCTCTCTCTCTCTCTCTTTTTTTTGCCACAGTTGACAACTCACCCTTTTTTTCCCAAAGCATTGTCATTTTACTGGTTTCTGGTTTACAAAAATAAAGTAGGACCTATGAAAGTCAATAAAAGTAATGCTCTTCATCTTCAAATATTTATTTATTGCTTTCTTACAGTTTAGAAAGTGTACACAAATTATACACCCTCACCTCATCCTCCACCATCTTCAAATCCACAGGATATGTTAAATAAAGAGAAAAATCAAGAAAGGAA